GCGCAGGATGCGGCGCGTCGTGTTTCGAACGTTGCGAGTGTCGCGTAATTTATTTTGTGTTTTGTCTTGGCCTCCCCTTTTCAATCCAGCAGAAAGAGTGGTCTAAAGTCCAACTGATTACTAAATATATTTAAGATAATGGCGCTACTCGCCTAATATATTATATACACTATTTTATTTTTATGTTTTTCTATGGTATATACTTGACTGTTGGACGGGACCCCTCTCTGCTGATTTTAATTATTTATTTATTTATCTTATGTACTATTGTATATTTTATTGTTGTATAGCTACGCTATTTTAATCTCTACTTCTTTTTACCCTATTCTTTTTCTATCTTCTTTCTATTTTCTTTTCCTTTTATTCTTCTAAGTACTATTGTACTCTCTTTCTTTTAATCTTTTACTATTTATACTACAAGTTTGTGGGGCCCTGACTGTTCGAGTGTGTATGCCGCGTTTGCGATCTTTTGTATTTTACACGAGTATGAATGAGCGCGATATACATTTATTAATTTTATTATTATTTATATTGCTGCGCGCGCTCCTCCGGGAATTTTATATTATGACGACACCTCTGTGATATCCCGGAGGATAACTAATCTGTGATAACGAATCCCTCCAGCTTGCGTGCTGGGGGGATGACAAATATATGTGATAAAATGGCGTAGGCTGGGGGGCTTGCCCCTCAGCCTTCTAGTTTTAATTACCCATGCGGGGGGGGGGGGCCCTTGTCCCCTGCAAGAAATATATTTTTATTGGCGCGCGGCATAGCCGCTTATTGTTGTATTTACCCCAGAGAGATATTGTCTCTCTGGGGAAATTATCTGATAAATAAAATATTGTGTTATGATTTCAGCTTCTTACTGTTAATATTAATGAATTTATTGTGAGTTGAATTGATTTGTCACTGTAATAAGTAACGCCATCATAAATTATAATCTACATAAAATGATTAATGTAGGGCGTGTAAAAGACTTAGGCCCAGTTTCACAACAGACGGTTAATTCTTAACCGCGAGGTTCAACTTATTCATTATCTCTTTTCATTTCTAGAATTGGAAAAAGATGAGAAATAAGTTGAACCTCGGTTAAGAGTTAACCGTCAGTTGTGAAATTGGGCCTTAGTGGTTATTTCGTGATACATACGTGTAGTGGAATAGTAAAGCATGTTGTGTAACAAAATACAAGAGCTTTGCTTTCTTATTCTTTGTTTAGTTTGTTGTCTTGTATATCCCACATGTTTGGGATATACGGCATTTTTAACGAGCGGGATTTATGCCCAAAGCATACGAAGTGCGCAGATTGAATTCAGTGCACTAAATGCAATAAACGCATTATACAGATTGAATTCAGTGCACTAAATGCAATAAACGCATTATACGAAATACGTACCTCATGTCATAATACTTGTATATACTTGTAATATATGTAGGAAGATTATAATTATTATTTATTACTTCATATACATATTTACCATTCTTATTCCTTAATAAAACTTTATATACATATTTTATAAGTTATATTATGTCATTATACGTCTTATTTATATGCATTATTTGTAAATTTTTCATGAGCCCCGTACAATCCCCCCCTCCCCCTATGAGTAGCCATATGGGGAGGAGATTTTTCATATATCCCACCCCTATGGGATATATGACAAAAATTCAAGGGTTTCAAAAAGTTTATTTTTTAATATGAAAAATAAATATTTCGGATTTCTAATATTTTTTCCATAGTAGTGTAGACAGTACAAAGTTTTTACTGATATAGTTCGTTTACTATAAACATAGTAAGTAAAACTTAATAAATTAAGTTTTTAATAGGTGCGGCGTATATACCGGAGTTACCCTAAATTTTTATGTGACTTTTATTTCATGCTATAAACCTTTGTAAGTTTGTACAAAATTTTCAAATATCCATTTGTGTCTATATAACTCCGTAAAGGATCAGTCATATTGAAATATCAATTATCGATTTCAAAAGTATAGATTTAAAAAGCTTTCAAATGATTTTTTGATCGTTTGTCTCATGATTTTTTATCGAATTACGGTGTTCTAAATATTGCGCAATTTAGAGCGTGTTCGAAAGTGTTTCCTAT